CGGCCTCTCAGGGGGGGACGCAGACGCTTGTGCTGCCGAGCTGCGGGCTGGCTTTGAGGGAAGACATCGCCTTTTCTTCCTCCTCTCGCCCCCCTCCCCGGGCCAGCTCCCGCCAAACTTCTCCTCAGGAGCCTCCCCACGGGAGCCCCAAACCCCCTCTCTTGCTCTGTGCGTACCCGAAGCTTTTGGGGCTGTTTCTTGTTAACGCGGTCCCTCGCCCCATCCAACCCTGGTACCCCATGGGCTGGGCTGGCGTCGTGCTGCCCCAAACCGCCTGGCGAAGGGCTCCGACATGGCGGGGTGGCGGCAGGGAGCTGCTCCAAAGCGGGGCTCTGCTGCCTCGGGAGCTGTGCAAAACGTGGGCTGAAAGGGTCCTGTCCCACCGTGGTACAATTAAACATACAAAGGATAAATCCACTGGAAAGAGAAAAGTGACATAGGGAGGCCGAGAGCTCCCAGCAAGGCAGCAGCAGGGTCCGAAGTGGATCCCCCCCCTAAGAAATGGGAAGCTGTGGCTAATGTGCTGCTAAAAGCATGCTGGCAGTGGTAGGATGAATCACAAAACCCACTTCTCCCAGCTCCCGCCCCATTAGATCAGAAAACCACCTTTTTGTGTCGCATCACCAGCCTTGAAACAAGCCCATCGGCTCCATTTCACACCGGCGTGTTCCATAGCGGGGTTCACCGGGCGCTTGCAGACATTTAATGAGGCATCAGCCCTGCTCCGGCATAATGTATTTCAGTGCGTGGGCTGTACAGAAATGCATGCGTTAAATGGATACTTCATGGGATATGTTATTTTGCACGGCGCATTCTGGCAGAGGCGAAACAGGCCTGATCTGTCACACCCAATGCAAACACGAGGTGATCCCGGTTCGGCTGCCGGTTGTAGCCGTGGAACCGTGGAGAAGCTTGCAAGACGGAGCTGTCGGGCTGCAAATTTCGGTTTTACGAGGGTCAGGTCGAGCCCCGTGGCATATCGTCACCAGCCAGCTCTTTTCTGAAGACAAGCGTTTCCGCACAACCCCTGCACGTTCAAGAAACGACCGAGAACTTTTGGTGTGAGATGTGAGCACTGGATTTCTTCCCTCTGAAAATCACATTATCCGTGGAAAGATATTTTTTTGGACATGGAGGCCTGGGAATCGGCTGCTCTCAGGGAGTGTCCCTCACCATCTGCTTGTACATCTGTCAAATCCACTCACAAACCCCTGCCTGGAGTGCTTGTTCGGGAAACTGTAGGATAGATTAGCACTCCTTTTTATTTTCCTACGCTGCTGTGATGTGAACGCAAGGGAAAATTCAGACGGAAGGGGTATTTTGTTCGGTTGAGGCGGGTATGCGCGTTTTAAACACACGCAGTTTACATCTCCGGGGGAGGCTGAGCTAGAGGGGAAGCCCTTGGCCACAGCTCGGCCATGCGTTGCCTGCGGGAGCCCGTGGGAGCAGAGGGTGTGCGGTTCCTTCCCCCCGTTTTTAAGGCCTTTTCAAGGGTTGTTATTATTATTTCAAATTAATATTTCCCTCCTGTGGTGACTGATGAAAGCATCTGGGCTTTTGAATATTTTCATGAATATTTATTCATTTTCTTGATTTTTTTTAATGTTCTTTTTCTATTGGTTTTATCTGCTTGAATTTTAGATAGTTTTTCTTTATTACATTTGTGTTGTTTTTTTTTTTTTAATTGTAGTGCCATGAGGAAAGCAAAAGAGAGTTATCTGCTGTTTGATTTTGCTCCTCAGGGCCCAAATCCTGCAATGAATCCTCCTTCATCGAGACACCCGAGGATGAGCAAGTATGCAACTCAGGATTGCTGGTATACATTTCACTTGTCGTTCTCCAACCATTTTCTATTAGCTATGTACATAAATACAGATATGTACATACACAGATGTACGAGCTGCTCCTATAACATCCGGATAACTATAAAACCTTGAGAAGGCATCTAGATGTTTATGACTACGTTCATAGTACATGATTTGCAGGATCTGGTGGCTATTACTAAGTTTGGAGCCAAGTTTAAACTCTTTTGGCAGTTACCAGGAGTAAATGAAGGATGTGGAGTTTAGATCAGCTACGTTGTCTTTTGGAAGGGGGGGGGGGTGCCTCTATCCTTCACCATGGACTATCCCAGGGGTCCAACATCAGCAGGTTCCTAATTCTCTTCCAATAAGTAGGATGAATTGGGACCTTTGTCTTTAAAACATACCTTCATTCAACCAGAGGTTCAACCTGTTCTCACATTTCTGATCCAAAGACAACACAGTGCAGGGACACTCCTTAAATCCCTTCCCAAGACAGTAATGATTGGGTGCAAAAGCCTCTATGGGCAACTTCATCGCAAATTATTTGTGTTTAGACTCACCTGACAGACCTTCAGACATACAGCGTAGGCTCCCAGCCCTGCTGTAAGTCTTATTTAAGTCAGCATTTACATCAGTAGCTGCACTGATGTAAATGCTGAAGAACGTTTCCCTTGAAGAGATTTCAATAATGATGCAAATGATTTCAATAATTTTATTGACGCTATTTGTGGGGGAAGGAACACAGGCATCTCCTCCATGTTCACCTCCCCCTTCTGGGGCCTTGGGTATCTGGATGGAATTGCAATGGTCTTTGATGGACAACAAAGGCGCTTTTGTTCTGTCAAAGAAGCAGAGCCAATAACGCCCCAAAGAAGTCAGCACCGAGAGCTCCACTCACCCGACCAAAAACAAAAGAATAAAGTGTGCAGCAATGCAAATTATCTTTCTTAGAGAATTAACCCCTTCCATCATCCCAACCCCTCTGCATTCCTACAGAAGAACTCTTCTGGCTGCCAGCATCTTTTCACTTTCATCCTATTGCTCTGCTTCAGGCTGTCAACCCCAATCACTGTCAGAATTGCTGATAATTAAGTATTGCCTCTTCTTTTTTCACCTCAGAAAATTGCAAAAGCCAGCTAACTCTCTTAAAACTACTGTCGGGGGCCTGGAAGATCGATAGTGGCATATCCTGCACTGACATCCAGCCTTGTGTTTTTTTTGAATCAACCACATCGTTATAGTCAATGAGAACTGTTAGCCTCAAAAGCATGTTGCATGGTGTCTCCAGAGGCAGGGTTCCTCACTGAGCAAACCTAGTCTATGCTAAGAAAATTGCCCTGGTAGGGTTAAATTTGATTTAAAAATCGATCCAGTTACACTGGTACAATGTAAATAAAATTTAATCTTAAATAGATTTAAATGTAGCTTCTACTGGTTTGATTTAATTCAAAACATTATCAACGTCTAAGTAGCTTCACTTGCATTAAGAGTTGGCACTGGTGAAGGCAGATTGATTTTACATGGATTTAATTATCAAAACTCGAGCAGATGTAGCCTTACTCTGAAGTGAGGATGGGGGAACAGAAGTCAGCACAGTTTCTTGAATAGTACGTGACCAGGCCTTGCTCCATGGACCTGGCAAGTGCTAATGCTCAAAGGGAGGGGAGAACCTGCCCTCTCCTCTTCCCTCCATCCTTTGGTAAGTCCAGTAACAGCAACATCCAACTTTTCCTGGCAGAGCCATACTTCAGCTAAAAGACTGGCACAGAGCTTTGTGTTAAAAATGCCACAGGATAGCTTTGCAGGATACAATGTCTTGATTT